ATAATTCGACGTTACATTGATTCACTTTAAACCTAGAAATGAATATGCACTTGCCTATTTTGGCCAGTTGAAATTTTCAATACTGCAGTTTTTAAGGCCTCTGGCTTTAATGCTGCTGGAGAACAAAACTGCAAAGGATACATTAAAGTATTTCAAATATTTTCGGATCATTTCACTCCTCACCTATTTGGGACTAGTAAAAGAGGAGCTTTTGAAAAGACCTAATTTCCTTTTGAATTTATTGACTGTTCTTCGACTCTTGGATTTTGTCTAGCCTAACGGCTTACCTGCCAGAATAAGTAAGAACAACAGCAACAACAAACACTCTTACTATAAGTACTTCCTTTCTTACTTTCACTAATTACTATGTGATAATAATATATTTAAAAAAAATTATAAAAGTCTACATTTTTCTGAGTGATGTCTAAGATATCACGCTTTACAAAATGTACTTGTCACTAAGTCTCAATAAGACATTAAGTGACTTATCTCTATGTCTTTAAGTACTACAGACACTTAAGAAGGTTGTAAATGAGCCTTTATTTTATAACTAATTAAGAGAACAGAACTCACACCTGCTGCTTAGAAATAAGCCAGCATTTATGGAAAGAACTCAAAGTAGAAATACAATGTAAAACTAAATCTAGATGGCTAATACCCGAAGAGCTACTCGCGAATTCGGCTATTAAAGCTTCACTAGCATGGAATAATATCGGCAATTGCAATGCACGACTGAAGACATGAACTCTTATCTTACGAGAGCACACCTAGCAACGTAACCACCTCAAAACCTGACTTAAATAAATACAGGTAGCTAATTTGTATTCTAGCGGGAAAAAGGAAAGAAACAAGTGACGGTAAAGACCGAAAGCATAAAATAACTGGTTAAATAAATTTAATAAATCCTATTGATAATATGTTTAGGAGATACCTGAGAAATATTATATTTACATTCTTCCTAAGAGATGAAAGATTTAGGATAAAAGGAAAGTTATAGAGACATTAGGTATTTTTTAAAAGCAGGAGAGATGAAAAATGAGCAATGCCCTCACCGGGACTCGAACCGAGGAATTCTCGAATACGCGTCGAGTGTGGTGACAACTATACCACGAAGGCATGTTACGAAGGCGGGAGAAATAGCTTATAAAGTTAAGACTGTATGCTGTATTCAAATTCTAAAAATGTTTTTCACACTGATTATAAGCATAATTTAATGAGATTTCTATCGAGAGTTACATTCTGCGGTTACAAATATTATTTAATGAATATTTGGCTGTAATCTGAAATTTTGGTATTTAAAATATCCACATTTTAATAAGCTTGATTTTTTTCCTTATTATAAAAAATTTCAAATCAATGATGTGAAATGCAGACGACACTGATAATTTTCTTTTATTTTTAAATTACGCTTCAATAGAAGCTGTATAATTTGATAAAAATAGAATATACTACGTCCTTTTGTTACATCATTACATTGATATTCTTTGTCAAATACTTAAATCAGTGCAAAAAAATCTAAAAATATTACATAAGAATTCTCTGACATGAAACAAACTATTTCATATATAACATACTTCTGTTTGAAATATATTCCTGACAAACGTTTAGTTTCACAAGATATTTCAAAGTTTATTTCTTAGCTGGAAAAATCAGGATCATATTCTTATCTTCAAAGCTCATAATTCTAAACTTTTTTTAGAATTTGCTAGGGAGCATGAAACTCCCTAGCAAATTTCCTGTATTTTCATTATAAAATATTTATTCATTTTAAGTATTTTTACTTCATTGCCTCATTGGTTTGACGGTTAACTACAATTTACCTAATAGAAAATTAATTCAAAACGATTAAAGTGAAAAATTGCAGAAATGATTTATTTATCATTTTAATGAATGTTTTGCAGACAAATTCTTTCTGATCCTTCTGGTCAATCCTGGTATTCCATATGCGAAATGAACTTACTGCATTCCTCACCGTGCTGCCATCTGTCAAGTTCACAATTCGACAAAACTTTGCATTGTTTATAATGCCTCTTTAAAGGCAAAGAATCATGAATCTCTAGATAATAATTTACTTCAAGTATCAAATGTCCTTCCTGAAAAGTCTGAAAGTGTTAATTAATTGCCAACTTCATCGAATTGATTAACACCGCTCGATACTGGTAGTTTCACCTGGATTCACAACCAGAAGAACAGGCTGACTGCATGGTCGTTTTTTAAAGGATTTGCAGTCTGTAACTTGAACATAAGATACTATATTTTAAATTTCCCCATGAAGCCATTTCTTCTTTAACCCATTTTATCCCACTATCCTATTTAAAGGACAGCTGAAAATAGCATGTAGAAATCAACATGTGCTTGGTGCGAATATTTTGTTAGCTGGAATGTGTAGGAATATGTATTAACATCTGCTAGCGTGAGTTATGTGTCTTGCCCCCTCCTCCTTCCTCTGGGCATTTTGATTATTCATCGCATTAGCGGGCGTGGTTTGTATCATCTCTTTGTGGTTGCAGAATTCGTTTTCAGTTTACTTTAGACACACGGCTGGGCATTTTGTATGTGAAAGTACTCTTTTCTTATCATCCTGGTGGTTAATGAAAGCTTTATTGTCATTGGGTGAGTTTTAGCGCATTGTTTTTTAACTGTCCTCTAAATAGAACAATGAGATGATAAGTATGCAATTGACGCGTTCTTTCCCTCTATATAAGTAAGAGTAAAAAAAAATTCTAGTGTTTCACCCCTGCTGAGTTATGGTTGTGCAAAGTTAGAGGAAGCATTATAACTATTCAATAGTTTAGATTCAGATGAGAGCGAAGTTGAAATTGCTGTGTTACCACCAGATGCCAATGAACTAACTGACGAAGATGAAGGTGATGAGAATGAAGTAAATACTGGTGAGATTATTGTAACCGATGTTCCTGAGTCTCGGCAGGTTATAACTGAAGATAGTTTCCAGCCTGAACCGTCCACAAGCTCTAGTGATTCCAAAGAGTAGAAAAAAGCTAAAAGACACCACTTATCTTGGATAAAGAATAAATCACCACAATATACAAAATGGTCAGATGCATACAAATACTACTGGTCAGATGCGGTAAAGAATCTGATGCGAGAAATGATACTCGTCTTGGTACTCGGTTTATGATGAAACTAACACAGAATATTGTGAATTCTTCAAGCTACGCTTTATATTTTGATAACTTTTTTACTAGCATTTATCTTTTGAAAAGACTTGGTGAACAGGGTTTTCGAGCTATAGTAACCATACGAGAAAATTGGATAAACCACCAGTTTCCTTTAGAAGAATCTAAGTCTATGCGGAAGACAGAAAGAGGCACGTCTGATTTTGCAGTTACGAGAAATCTGAGATTTACCTGGTGCGATGGAATGATTATAGTACTGTCACTGTTGCTACAAATTTCAACACTTTAGAACCATTCTTTGATCTGAAGAGGAGAGTGAGAGGAAACAAAGATAAAGTTAACGTAAAGATGCCAAATTTTATTAACCCATTAACTGCCATGATCCCCATATGGGGATCGCCTACATTTGTATACATTGTGACGTCATGCTGTACCTGGGTGGTCCCTTACGGGTGGTCATGCTTTCCTGAAGATTGAAACTAAGGGTAGAAATCTTAAACAAACCACGTGGACTCAGTTAGTTGAGCTCACGAGTTTTTTTCTTGCTCTCTCGTTACTTTTCACGAGAAAAATAATACAGTTATTTTCAAAGCACAAAAAAAGATACTTAGGACAATTATTTTTGTTGTACTGAATTTTCCTTGATCATTGGTAAGTAATTAATGTATTTATATATTATTTATCCTCATACTGTAATTTGGATGGGTACAATGAACCCAGATATATCGATCCCCATTTGGGGATCATGGCTGATACTGACTAAAATTGTCAAAAAACTGTTTTTATTTTTTTCCAGGAAATGTCGCGAAAAGATATCTTTCTTTAAAAGAAATTGAAGAAATTGTAAATGCTGATGATATTTTTGCATCTGACGATGACGACGATAATAGCCCCATAGATATTGTTGAAATTCCACCAGAGTGGGTTGATGAGATTTCAGATAATGAGGATATGGATGACAACGTAATTGATGATGAAGAACCACTTGATGTTCCCGGGTGTGTTGAAATTCACCGTGTGGCAGGATTTGAGGACAATTTTTTAGTGAATGTAAACTGAATCTTCAGCAAATGAAGTAACAAAAGATACCGGCTTCCACCTGCTAAAAAGAGAAAAGAAGTATTGACTTCCACTTGGAAAAAGAAGCACCCTAAGTACTCGAAACTATATGAAAATACTGACGTTATAGAGACAAGGCGAAATGATGTCATTAGAAACTCAGGGGAAAAATCCCCGGTAGAGTGTTTTGAAATACTTTTTGATAATGAAACTGTCACCTATATGTCTAGCAGTCTGTATATACGACAGACAGAAAACAATCATCAATTTCAGCTTTCTAATAACTGCCTAAAAAAATTTGTTGGAATACTTCTTTTCACCGGCTATCATTCGCTTCCGCAAGAACAATTATATTGGTGTGAAGATGAAGACATGAAAATTCTGTGTGTTAGAGCATGCATGAGTCGGAAAAGGTATCTGGAAATTAAACGGTACCTACATATCAGTGACAATTTCGATTTAGAAAGGATTCCACTAGGTGAACGTAATAACCTCTTCAAGATTCGTCCATTAATTGACAAGCTGAATGATAAATTTCAACAATTTGGGGTGTTTTCTGAAAGTTTGAGCATTGACGAACAAATGGTTCGTTATTATGGATATCTCATTACCTCAAACAATTTATACGTAGTAAGCCAGAGCGGTTTGGGTTCAAACAATGGACTATCTGTTGTTCACAGACTGGATATTGTTTATGAGACTCCAAGTGTATGAAGGCAAATCAAAGAAATTAGGAGATGATGAAAGCATCAGTGGGCTTGGGACATTTGTTGCCCTTCATATGGTATCTATCTTCGACACCAAATGCTCACAAAGTTACTTCGACAATTTTTCACAGGATTTTCTCTGATGAAACATTTGCAGGACATTGATGTTAGAGCAACAGGAACTGTTCGATTCAAAAGAATGAATAAATTCCCTATTGCAACAGACAGAGAGATAAGGAAAAAAGAACGCGGAGCATATGACTACAGATTTGATTCCCGTAATGAAATTTTAGCTGTCACGTGGAATGACAAGAGTTGTGAAAGGCTTCTGTCTAATCATGAAACTAGCAAACCAATATCAGAGGTGAAGCCATGGAGTAGAACAGAGAAGAAAGATATTCAAGTACCACAACCCAAACTGATATCAGAATATAACAAATACATGGGTGGAGTAGACAAGATGGATTGGAATGTTCAAAAGTACATAATCAGAATAAGGGGGGAAAATGGTGTTTTCCTTTGCTTACTAATGCCATCAACGTAACACTGGTTAATGCCCACGCACTGTATTGTATTTCAAGTGATAAAATTCCATTGCTAGATTTTAGGAGGATGGTTGCTATGATATCTTGCTTTATCTTCAGAACTCTCAGATGCAAAAAAGGGTGGAAGGAATTCTTTCACTAAAGGATCAAATCGTGTTCCTATGTTATCAGAACATCTGGTAATCATTATATTGAACGCACCGAAAAATGGTAAACAAAGAAAATGTGCAGTGTGCAAAACAAATGCAAGAAAACAATGTGGAAAATGTAATGTTGGATTACACGTAGACTTGGCATTAAAAGTAGATAGTATCAGCCATGATTCCCATTTGGGGATCGAACTTAAATTTAAAATTTCTGAAAAAAAATTGACGCATTTATGAGAAAAACATATTTTTCTTATTATTTAGATGAAAACTAACAGAAATAAAATAAAAATTGATGAAATAAAAATTTGGCAGTTAATGGGTTAATTCTTACAACAAACATATGGGCGGTGTGGATCACCACGACTGGTTGGCTGGAAATTATTCCATTAAATTCGTGGAAAAACGTGGTACTGGCCGCTTTTTATACGTTCGCTGGATATGGCTATGGTAAACGCCTGGATAAGTCACAAAACTCTGAACAAAAATGAAGCTCTAAACTTGAAGGAGTTCCGAAGAGCTGTAACAACAGTTTATATAAAAGAAACTGTGATAAGAACAAAAGGTAGACCTAAGATCTGGACTGTACCTTCTGATGCAAAAGAAGACATCCGTAAAGATAGTGTTGGTCATTTTTTACTAAAGGGAGAAAAACAGCGTCGTTGTCAAAGAGAGGGCTGCAAAGGAAAACCAAAAACATACTGTGGCAAATGTGACAAAACACTTTGTCAGGCTTGCTTTGGACCTTCCCGCCAAGATTAGAGTGAAATTCATCTGAAAAGGGAACTATCTTGTAAATAAGGAAATATTTGTCGAATAAAGTAAAATTTGTACACGGTAATCACTTTTCATCATTGAAGAGAACACTAAAAACATGTAAGTGTAAATTTTATCCCCTTTATCCCAGTGTCCTATTTAGAGGACGAAACAGATTTTTTATATAAAATATAAAACAAATTTTCTGGTTTTGTTATATTTAGTTTGTTTAGGTTTAATTAACCTTAGAAAATACCATTATTTTCAAATTTGAACAAAATAAATAAATTGGGATAAAATGGGTTAAGGCAAATAGGCTTCGTGAGTTTCATCGTACTCTCTTAACCAAACCTTAACAAAACATGCTGTTTAAATGTTTTGCTGCATTGGAGTGAAGAAATTCGTAAAAAACGATTTGAATTGTGACATCTTAGGAAATCTTAATGACGACGTAGCCCCTCCTCACAGTGCACTTGTTTGCATATTTGAAATCAGCAGTTTCACAGTATTGGTCACCGAGCTCATTATTATAACAGCAGAATTCGTCTCAACAAAATTTCAGACACACACACAAAAAAAATTATGTCATTCGAATCTCTTGTTCTTCTAAGACTAATAATAATTACTTTCTAAGACTACTAATAATGAGTCTTCTTGAAAGTCTCTTTTTATTTTTATATTATACTATCGAAAGCTGAGGCATTACACATTATATTTTATTAAAAGCCGTTAGTCTAATACAATAGCTATAAACAACATGCTTTTACTTTAAGAAGAGTGTAAATATTCTTTCTATCGAAGGAAGAATAAATATTCATATTCCGACCTTTCATATTAACTTCTAATTGCGACATAATTATTTATTTATATTTCATTTAAAATATGAAGAAACTGAAGAAGTTTGAAAAAGCACTTTTTTAATTTAATTTAATATAACTGAATTCTATTACATTAAAATATGGTAAACAAACAAACAAAAAAAAAGTAATATTTCTTCATTTATATTTCAATAACTATATATTTGGCTTATAAACAACAGACATTTGAATTATACGGCATTTAAATTTATACGGATCTGCTGTGTACCTGAGAGTAATACAACTCCATTAAATACGGATTCTAATCTTGAGCGTTAAGAGCTTCCAATATTCATAAATGGCTTAACCGACGTCCCAGACTAAACAAGTTTACTGGATGGTTTTATTAGCGCTGTGATGGAAGGAACAGAGGATACAGAACAGAATAAATATAAAAATAACGATTTTGTAAAAGAAAGAGAAAGGAAAAAAAAATGAAAGGAAACACTTTAAAATTTTATATTGAAAAAGCTAACCGCATAGTTTCCATTTCTTAAGTGGCTCTTGATCTCTTTTATTTCATTCTGTTATTTCATTTGTTTTGCTCATTAATGTTATGAAGTTTAATTCACGCCGCGCAATAATGTTATGAAGCTTACTTCACGGCACCAATGTTAAATATTTAATTCACGGCACCAGTGTTAAATAAGAAACTACTTGCCGTGAAAGGTTTCTACTTCCTCTTAGGAAGGAAACTAAACTCTTAAGAATTTTTGCTAATTACCAAACTTTTAGTGATCGTATAGTGAAACGGTAAAGCATTTTGCGTTGTAAAAATTGCATCCCGGGACCGCGCCGTGAGAGGATCGAAAACATAAGAAAAACATATACACGATATATAGGAAAAACATATTAAGTATATAAAGAAACATACTGTAATAGATTTTCCAGATTAAATATCAGTTTATTCGAATTCATCAACCACAGTAAAATAAAATCTTATCCTCATCAGAGAGTCTAAGTGAGAATTCTTCAATTTGTCATTTACTTACTTTTTTTTTCCATTTAAATTCATATAAAAACAACTTAAGGTTTGTCTTGGTAATTTAGAAAGGGGAAAGGGAAACAATTGAAGGCCTGAGAATTAATTTAAGATTCGACGTTTTTTTTAACTTACTTAAAGTTCAAACACAAAAAAAAAAAAAAAAAAAAAAAAAATAATAATAAAAAAAAATAAAATAAAACTTATCTTGGTGGACATCTTGAAGTGGAGGACTCGTATCCTAATAAGCGTTGAAGTCGTCGGGGCTCATCTTTACGGTCACAAAAATGGAAGTTTCAGAAGACATCGTCCTGTCCAGGCACTATTTGCGAAAACACACACGCAGGTAACTGGTTTTCATAATGACGAAGCTATTTTTAAGTCTGGAAAACAGAAACAGGAGCACTGCTGCCCAGCACGGCTATCCGCTTGGTCTGGAAAGTCTTAAGTCAACACGCAGGTAACTGGTTTTCATAATGACGACGTTATTTTTCCTCTGTAAAACAGAAACAGGAGCACTGCTGCCCAGGACGGCTATCCGCTCGGTCTTCAAAGTCTTAAGTCAACACGCAGGTAACTGGTTTTCATAATGACGACGTTATTTTACCTCTGTAAAACAGAAACAGGAGCACTGCTGCCCAGGACGGCTATCCGCTTGGTCTTGAAAGTCTTAAGTCAACACGCTGGTAACTGGTTCAAATTTCGCCTTTTTACCAGAACGCGGGAAGGGAGCATGTTTGCAGCTCCCGGCCAGAAACGTTTTTCTAGGCAATTACGGCTCGCCTGTTCTTGTTCATCCCAAGAGCAAGCTTCACGAGTAACGTCCAAAGTAAGTTTTCAAAAGCCAGTCAGTAAGTGATTCCAACTCGAATTTCCTTCGTCTCTTTCACAAACGCGGGCTCCCACTATGGCTTCAATTATCGCCCTCTTAATTATAGCAAAATTTGCGTTTTCAACTCCTGATGCGGAAATAAGGGTGATCGCGCATGCGCGCCTTCTTCACTTAGCCAACAACCGGACCCTCAATCGCCAAAAACCTGAATGACTTACATTGAAAGACCAAGTAGCAACCTTTGACCTTTTTGTCACGTACTTCCTCTCTTAAGGTTCACTACACAATGAAAATCCTTCTAGAACATTCTAAAGGACAAAGCGCGCGAAATCATGACTTGGCAAAAATTGCTTCCCTTTCCCTGCTTCTTTCACATGAATCAAATCTTGTACAAAATTTGCAAATAAAAGAAATAAAATAATATTCTTTTAACTAAAATAATATTCCAGAAGCATCTGCTTTTCCCCAAAATTAAAGCCTTAAAATAAATAATCAGAATCAAATAAAATTAAAAATTTCCATAAATCAGAAATCATTCACCTAGTTTTTATACCGCTATCAGACAAATTCTCTACACAACATTTCCTTTCCCCTAAGGAATTAAATTTTGGTTTACCAAAATTTAGAAGACAGACACTTCTTGAAATACCATGACTCATACCGTGCAATAAGGCTAAAGGATAACATAATGTAACAATATTTCACACGGCTCCTTGGTAACAGTGACGTTACTGACACATTAAATTTCAAGTCCAAAATGTGCAAGTAAAACAACAAGATTAATCAAAGCAATTACTAATTAAAATACTCAAGGAAGATCATCAAAAACAATTAATCAAAAACATCAATTAAATCACTTAATCACTGTGTGGCCACAATTCTGAACATTTATTTATCTATTCATTCTCTTTTTTTTTCAGTCCATTAATGTAAACAATTTCACCTGAGGTCGAACACATTCTACTATTGTTGACAATTTCTTTCTGCTGACACAATCATGGAGTACATTAAATGAGTACGGAGTTGTCAACGCAAGCGAGTGAAAACCCTGTAGTTAGAAATCATTTGTGTTAGCAACTCCCCGCTGCAGCCTTCAACCCGAGAAAGTGAAAGCCACAACCCCGTAATGTAAGGAACTCAGCACCACAATACCCCTTAGTAGAAGGATCACAATGCTCGAAAAACAAACAACTGACTGAACAGTTTAGTAGAATGCAAGCCAAGAAACTTGACCTAAAAAGAAACCAGATTTCACCCCCCTTCCGTCTCACCTTCGACCAAGGAAGAACAATCACTCTTTCAAAGTTGAAGAAGACTTATCTGTCATTTTTCCTTACGATAGATAAGCCACTGAATGTGTTCGGATACTCACACCCGAAAGAAAGAAATAATCTAATCCAATTGCTCACACCAAAAAAAAAAAAAA